TCCCACCTCAAGCCGCACCCCCATTTCCTACCTACTGACCTCATCCCGCCCCCTTGACCTGTCCGTCTTCCCTGGACTGACCTATCTCCTCCCTACCTCCCCATCTACACTCACCTTTACTGGCTCCATCCCCGCCCCTTCGACCTGTCTGTTTCCTCTCCACCTATCTTCTCTTCTATCCGCCTCCCCCTCTCGCCCTATTTATTTCAGAACCCCCTTCCCCTCCCCCAATTCTGATGAAGGGTCTAGGCCCGAAACGTCAGCCTCTCTGCTCCTATGATGCTGCTTGGCCTGCTGTGTTCATCCAGCTCTACACCTTGTTATCTCAGATTCTCCAGCATCTGCAGTTCCTACTATCTCTGATGTAATGAGGGCAGGGCTGAGTAGCCTTGGCGAAATCTGCTAGACCTGCTGTGTTTCTCCACCACTGTTTTTCCACCCACTCTAGGAAGGCCTTTGCCCTAGTTTGTTCCGTAATGTGTTTGACTTAAAAAAACAAGTATACACTCCCAGAAATCCTCCTCCACAGTATTGTTGCTAGTTTGGCTCATTCAATCTATTTATGAAGTACCCAAGATTACAGTTTTACTCTCATTGCGTGTATCTTTTAATGTCTTGCTTAATGCTTTCCGTTACATCTCCGCTACATATATACAACATATACCGGTTTTGTTTATCCCTCTCGGTGTTTCTTATGACCACCCGAACATATTCCACATCATGATTTTACAAGTCAGTATCCTTACTTCATTATGGCATTCACTTCCTCCTTTACAAACAATGCTAGCCAACTCCATTGCCTCCGTGTCTGTCCTTGCTAAATACCGAATACCCCCTGGATGTTCATCCTTGGTCACCCTAGGGGGTGGGGGTGGGAGAAGGGGAGGGGGTGGAGGCATGGAAAGTGGAGGGCATGGGAGAAGGGGAGGGGGGTGGGGGCGTGGAAAAGGGAAGGTGTGGGAAAAGGGAGGGGTGTGGGGGCGTGGAAAGGGGAGGACGTGGGAAAAGGGAGAGGGTGTGGACGTGGGAAAAGGGAGTGGGAGTGGGAAGCCGGAGGACAATGATATTTTGGACAGCGAGTAGAGCAGCCAGTGCCTTTGGCTGGTTCTGAGCTGCCAGCCGGGGACGGCGTTTCGAGTTGCGCGATTTCGCCGCTCGGGCTGTGGCTCCGCGCAGCCGCCGTTGGGAACCAGTTTGTCCGAGCGCGCGGCGTCCGGAGGAAAATCGGAGAGAGTGAGGTAACCGGGAATACAGGGAAATATTACCAGGAAAACCAGAAATAGGGACATCACGCAAACTGGGAATGGCAGGGGGGGAGACACGGTGGAAAAGTTGGGAATGGGGGGAGTGGCTATCGCTGGGAAGAGAAGGGATCTCACCAGAAAAAATTGGGAGTAATGGGACTATCACCGGGAATAGAGGGGGAAACCCGAAACATTGGGTGATATCACTGGGAATAGAGGAGACTGTTTCCAGGGAAGCTGGAAATAGAGGGCGTTAACACAGGGAAAACCATGAATAGAAGGGGGATATCATTGGGAAACTGGAGAGGGGATTAACACTGTGAAAAGCAGGAATGGAGGGGATATACACCTGGAACATGATGTATACTAGACAAACAAGGAAAAGACTGGGAATTGACCAGGGGACGGAGACCTGGAAAACCTTGGGGGTGGGCAATCCCGTAGTGAGAGATCGGGAATAATAGGAATCTCGGCAAGACCGTCAAAATACGGACTGGGGAACCGGGAAGTCTTAGAATACCAGAGATGAGTTAATTTTGGGGTGAGGGAACGGAATGTGGGGAGTGAAACTTGGTGGGGGTTGACACAACAGAGGAGACACCAGGGATATTAGTGAGGAGATTGGGAGCAGGTAGTGTGAGGGGTAATGGGGGACAGTGTGAGCAGGAAAAAAGAGGGAGTAGTGACAGAGCCAAAGATTGTTCAGGGACTCGGGAAGCTATGTTGGGAGTGTCCATTATGAAGATTTTAGGAGTGTGGTGGTATGGTGACCTGGGGGAGTGGAGTGGGATGGATGAAGTTAAGGTATCTGGAGCAGGGTTGTCTTGGAAATGGAGGGATTAAGGGGAAGTTGGGGCTGTTAGAAGTAAAGTAGAGATGGGACAATTTGAGTGCTATTTTTTAAAAACCAGGAGATATTTCCACTTGTGGGTAAAAAGAAGCATGGGCCAATAAATGTGAGATACGGAGGAACTCAATAGGAACTTCAGGAGAAACTTCAGAACCTGGACTAGTTAGAATGTGGTGCTCACTATCATGAGTTGAGAAAATTGGCACTTAAAGAGGAAACTAAAAATTCTACAAAATGTCACCCTGAATCCTTTAGAGTGGAATTTAAATCACAATTGTCTGACACAATCCCAAGTGAGAGCACATTGGGTGAAAAATATCCAGCAAATAGGAATAATACAGTTGGAAAAAGAAGGATTTGAATTGTTGTGAGAGGAATAAAAGCAGCAATCTTTAGAGGTTGGTTAGGCCAGTTGGCTGGTTTACAATGCAGACTGATGCCAACAATATGGGTTCAATTCCTGTACTGTCTAGGTTTACTGTGAAGGACTCTCCTTCTCACCCTCTCCCCTCGCCTGAGGCATTTTGACTCTTGGGTTAAAATACCAACAGTCATTTCTTTCTAATGAACGAGCAGCCTTATGGTTCATTTGGACTAAGGTGACTTTTATGCTAAAACATAATTTTTCAGTTGACAAAAACTGGAATTAATTGCTTGATGTTTTGACTTGTCATGTATTGTCTTGTGATGTAGATTATATTTGAAAATCAGTACAGTGAGCTTTCTTGGTACCTTTTACAATGCTAAAACTAATGAAATGGACATTGTGTAGATTTAGCTGTGAAAATACAGTACCAGGCATAGAGACAAGGAGGGTACAGCCTTTCAAAAATAATTCACAAGCTTTAACCAGGTTCACAAGTCTGCCGGGTACTGTTTAGTTATGTCGAGGAGATGATCTTGATGTGTGCTATTGTCTAGTGTGGAAAATCTGGTAGTGAGCTATTGGGACTAGTACTATATTGTAGACAGAAGACAATTATTTTGCATCAAAGATCATAAACGTTATGTGTTTGTCCTGTCACAGATATGAACTTGATCTCTGTGAGAAAAGCTCAAGAACTAATTTCTTGCTTAGAAAGCCAAGTTAAGGGCACCACTGCATTTTGGATTTAGATTTAGTTTGATCTTGTCCAGGAATTTTTTCCACTACAGATGTCTAGCTGCTGGCAGATTCTGATTCTGTCTTTCAGCTAGATTCACTGAATATTATAAAAGACTTCAGTGCTCTTTGAATGTTTGACAGTGGGAACTGGAATCCTTTGCTTGTTATAGCAACTAAGAGTGTAATTGCTCAGTATCAAAGTTGCAAGGTAGTCTGTCCCAGAATAGCAGGCCATTTACACAATGGAGTTAATCTATTGGCAAGAGGTGAGAAAGTTCATTGGCCAGCATTAGTTGTCCAAATTAAGTGCACTAAAAGACTGAATATTTGCTTAGTCGATGCATGTTGTAACTGTGGTAACTCATTTATCGTGGGTACTGTCTTGGATAATTGTGATAAACTGTGGACCTCGTATTGATTAGTTTTAGTTGAATAGTAACTTTATGGTGTTTTTAAATTAAGCTTGGGTCAGCGTTGGATCTTATTGTTTGAAAGCAATAAAAATACAAAGCTTTCAATGGATCACTCAGCCCTTTATAATAGTTCCCTATGAATAAACAGTATCATAGATAGTAATGTGGATGAGCATTCATTTTAAAGAAAGCACAAAATGGAAATGTCAACATTATATTTTTACAGAGATAGTAGGAACTGCAGATGCAGAAAATTTCTGAAGAAGGGTCTTGGCCCGAAACGTCAGCCTTCCTGCACCTCTGATGCTGCTTGGCCTGCTTTGTTCATCCAGCTCTACACCTTGTTATCTTATATTCTATTTTTACAGTTGTTTGTCTTGCTGCACAGCTTCTGTATTTTTATATTTATTCTGTTAAAAATCACCCACACACTTTTTGAGTCCTCAGGGCATCCCAGTCAATTACTTTTGAAATGTTATTGCTATATAAAAATAGACAAGAATGACATCCAGTTTCCCCACAACTAGATCTGATGAGCAGAAAAAGTAGACGACCAGGCTTGTTTCCAGAAGAACTTTATATCACTTTTGTGATTGCCTGGTGGGGATTTGATTTAATAGCACCTTCATAAAATGAGACGTTCTATCTGTGCTGTATTGACGTACCCCATTTAGATTGTTTTCAAGCTTCTCCTGTGCAGCTTGAACCCGCAACTTTCTGACCTAAGCAAAAAGATTACGACTGAATTAAAGTTGCTCGTAGCCTGGTTAGAAAAGTGTTTCATTATTTTCATCAAGGGAGTTAATTGGATATGAAATTTATGTAATTTTAGTACCCAGTGCCAAGATTAAATCTAGAATGAATGTTACTGATATGTATAGAATACTATATTTGTTGATCCAATTATATCACCTCAATTGATATACTCCAAGACAATGCATTGTGCTGATTTGGAATTCCTACTAAAGGATTCAGTTTATGTTGAAAATGCATTTAAAATTAATTTTTTAAACTGAATCCTGATGACATTTCCTCAAATATGAAATTTCAGTTTTAATCTGTTCAGACTTCTGAATGTTTCATAAGCAATAAAAAAGGACTGCCTGAGATGAAGATGACTTAGTCTGAGTGGTCCGTTGAGTTAACCAGGAAATGCCAAGCAGATCTAGCAGCACACATGTGCAGAGAAACAAAGTTAACATTTCAAGTCAAGTCGTCATTATTGTCGGCAATCACTCACTAACAACTATTATTGTATACCTAGAAAATTCTGTTACTTGTCGTGATTTCTGTGGGTCCTTTCATGGTTGATGAGCCCAAACCTAGAGCCGTATCTCTGACCACGCATTTGGCAGGTCTTTCTGAGAAGTGGAATTGATCGCTGGCATTCCTTTCTCCAGTTCCCTTTCCGTACTTGCTCCAGCCGAAGGGTGTTCTGAAAGAATTGTGTCCCTTCAGACAGGAAATTGCTCCACGTCATCGTTTTTTTTCTGAATGAGGCCTCCCACATATTGACATCTATGTTGCATTGCTTGAGAGAAGTCTTTAGGGAGTCTTTGAAACGCTTGCTTTATCCTTATACTTACGTGCAGTTTCTTTGAGCTATGCAAAGAAGATTTTCTTTGGCAATTAGAACTCAGGCATTCAAAGCAAGTGGCTGGCCCCACAGAGTTGGTTTTGGATGATCCTGATCTAAAGGACGCTGACATTAGTATGCCTGTTCTCACGGCTGATGCGGAAAATCTGTTTCGAGCAGCATCCATGCTTTGAGATGGCAGAAGGATGACTGTCTTATACACAAGGATCATGGTATCAGCCCGTGAAGATTCTCATCCTTAGGTATCTGAAGATGGTGCTCACAAATTAGATGCAGTGTTGAATCTCTTAATCAATGTCAACCTGCGATGAGAAATAGCTTCTCCATTCATCTTAGTGGAGGGATGGACTAGAACCTGACCTAGAACAGGTTGGCAAAGGATGTGAATCTTCTTGAGGCTGAGGCTGAGACTGGTTCTTCGGTATGCTTCTGTGAATGTTAAGCAAGTGGAGGTAACATTGCATCTATGTACTGAAGTTCAACGATCGAAGTTGGTGTTGTTTTCTGATCTTTCACCAGAGTCCCTTTATATTCCAGTGCATGAATAATTTAAATACACAGACCTGTGTTTAAATACACCGACCTTTCCAATGTTCTTGTTTGGTGATCCTCATATTATAAGGGCCAACATCTATGCATCCTGTGCAGAAACATGAGTTGCTGCATGGCCTTCAGGGATCATTGCTGTAGACTCAGTGTCTCCAAAAGAAATAATTGCCAGGATTATTGAGTATTTTCAACACTTTCAGTTTTAATGCTCATCGAGCAAATTTCTGTGGACTCCCTTGGATCGTGTTTTTCCAGCTGTATTGTTTTCAAAATCAAAAGCTCCACATGAGGCAACACTATAATGTCTGTGACCCAATCTTCTTGGAGACACTGAGACTATAGCAGTTATTTCCCCCTGTGCAACACTGAAATGTTATCCCACCAGCTTTGTGTAAATTGGCCCTTAATTTATCATTTGTGCATGGCCAGGCCAAAAAAGCCTTTAAACGGTCCATACGTTGAAACAAATCACTGGTTAACTGCAATGTAAAAAAAAAACATGTTGGTTAAGAGAATTGGTTTCAATTCTTAAATGTGGGAAATTGGATCCACATCGTTGCTTATGTGGATTTCCTTGTAAAGGACTCTGTGAGCTGCAGAGACAATGCTTCAGTGTTAGTGTAAGAGCAGCATCTTGAGATTCTATCGGTAACATGCTGACCTTATTTCGCAGGGATAAATAAAGAAAAGCCTGTATAGGTGTGCTCAATTTGTGACCTCAGGACAAAGTTGATTGTCACCGTGGTTGAGGAAAAGAAAGGACAAGTTATGAAGAAGGGTGCCAAGAAAGCAGTGAAGAGCAGCAAGAAGAGGAGCATGTCCAGGAAAAAAAGTTTTGCCACCTACATTTACAAAGTGATGAGGCAGGTTTCCCTTGACACCAGCACCTCCTCCAAAGCCATGAGTATCATGAAGTTGTTTGCCAACGATATTTTTGAGTGCATTGTCGGGGAGTGTTCCTTCTTGACCTATAGCAACAAGGACAACACCATCAGCTCCAGAACACGTATGTCTGCTCTTGCCTGGGGAGCTGGCCAAGCACATCATGTCAGAGGGGGCAGGCGGTGACCAAGTACACCAGCTCCAAGTGAAATACCACATTGTCCTGGAAAAATTGGAACAACAGTGTGCCACTCAGTCCTTATAGCCTTTTCTATCATTCAATTAGATCGTGGCTTTTATTCCATATACCCGTCTTGTTATTGTAACTTGTAATACTATTACCGAACAAATCTCTTGGTCATCTAAATATTTCAAATGTTTACTTAGCTTCGGAAACTTTTCCAGATTTCTGCTACCCTTTGTGTGGTGATTGTTTTCTGACCTCCCCTATGAATGGCTTAGCTCTAAATTTAAGATCAAACTCTTGCTTTGGCTTCCCCCACCAGGAGAAAGAAATACTGTGCTCTATCTACACTATCAAATCTTTAATTAAAATCAATGAATTTAGATAATTCCTTAATTGTATATACTTTAGGCACTTCAGGCCTAGTCTATGCAATTATAATTTTAGCTTCAGAATTCTGGTGAAACTGCATTGTAGCCCCTCCAAGGCCTGTGGTGTGGTGTCCAGAACTGAACACCGCATTCTGGACATGCTGTGTCCATAACTTGATATGATTAAATAATCTCTACCTCATTGTATTCCAGCCCTTGATATAAATTATCTTTTGTAGTGGTCTTTTAGCTTTTAATTGTTTCATTATGTGGACTCCTAAAGCACTCTACTTTTCTACAATTCTTTAATTTCTCATTATTTAGAAACTATTCTGACAATTCTTGGGTTCAAAATGAATGACTTCACACTTGCCTAGAGTAAACTTCATCAGTGACTATTTTTTGCACTCATTAAATCTTCAGTTTTTCTTTTGCAACTTTCTGCTCCCATTAACACTATTTACATTGTCAACAAAATTCCAGTGGTGTCTTTGATATGTAGCTGTCTATATAGTCTGTCATTTATAAATTAGTGAAACGTTGAGATGTTAGTGTGGATGCTATTGGGGCAGGGGTTGCGTGTGTGGCACCACTTGTCATGTCCTTTTATTCTGCCTCCTAGCTTGTAACCAACTCTATATCCTGTAAATTATCTCCAGTTCTGTGCACTGTCATTTTTTGTCTCTCTGTAGATCCTGATTGAGTGCCTTCTGGAAATCTGTGTAAATAACATCCACAGGCTCTTTGACACATCGAAAGTACTTCATAGCCACCTCTGAAATGTAGTCACTTTTGTAATGTAGGCAATACAGCAGCCAATCTGTGTACAGTAATTCCCATAAACAGGAATAATATTGACCAGATAATTGTTTATTAGTAGTGTAGCTGGGGAGTAAATACTGGTCAAGGTAGCATAGATAATTTTCCTGCTCTTCTTCAAAATAAAGCTCTGATATTTTTCCATCCAGGTGGTCAGACAGGGCTTGACAGTGTTTGTGGCTAACACCACAGCTAGGTGGAACAACATGCCACGTGTAAAATTGCAATGAAGTTTTGAAATTCTGAAGAGGTTATACACATGCAACATGGCTGCTCAGCATGCATAGACATGTCCATTGACATTAGCTGTGACAGGCAGGCCTCAGGCAGTATCTGTGCATGTGACAATGCCATCATCCTGTTCCCCAGTGGACACAGGTCAAAAGCTAGGAACGGGAATTGAAAGTGCATACACATCATACCCTTCCATCACTGCCATTAGACGAAATGGATCAAATGGCTACAAATGCTCTTGCAGTGTTTGCAATAAATGTGCCCTTCAAACTCCCATTCAGCAATGGGTTTGCAGCACCAGCTTCAGTGGCTTTGATTAGGCATTGGTAAAGGTTGAAGTTTCTAACTCCATAATTAAATGGGCCTTCTAAGTTGCATATCGAGTCCTGTGAGGTCGTGCAATTTTCAAACCTACAGTTATAAGGAGAGTGTACTTGGTGCAAGGCTGCTTTTGGTAATGCCATCGGTAGAGCTATGCATGGATGAGATAATTGATAGATTAATCAAATTTTAGAGAAATTATATTAAATTTGTATGAAACCCTAGATCAACCACACTGAAACAGTGTGGATTGTGGAAGCCGTTAGTTTAACATCTCATCAGAAAGATGACCCTCCTTAGAACTGCGCTGGAATGACAGCCCAACTACCACTGGGCCATGGCTGGCATATGTTTAATTCTTGTTTGTGTCCTCTGAATCTTTTTTGCATGTTGAGTATGTCTGCTTAATCTTACTAGTTGTCATTTTTATTATGTCTATTTGATGTGACTATTTATCTCCTAAAGATCGGAACGTGAATTAAAATGCAGACCCTTACGGTACTTGATTGGAAAACAAAGAAAACTGAATTTCAGCAATTATCTCCTACTGATGTTGTGTCAGTACTTTGACAGTTGGTTTCATTCTTTGCATATTGCCTTGTGGCCAACTTGCAGGGTGGTAGAATAATCAGATGCTACTTTATTTATTTATTTATGTATGTACGTATGTATGTTTTTAAGTGATAGATGAGTGGCCTTAGTTGATTTGCAAGAAACTGAGGTTGCGCTGTCTGATTCTGTAAAACACTGTTGCTGTTTGCATGACTTCATACATTTTATTACATATTGTAGTATGCTATTTATCACAGCTTATAAAGTTGACATGATTGCAAGTGAATTATGTGAGTCCACCTAATGATTGTAATTAATACATTGCTCCTCTTATTCTGGTCAAGTAATTTAGATATATTAATTACCAAATTTTGGCAAATTTGGTGAGGTAGATCAGCAGGAGTTAACACTAGCCAATAATTGTTTTCTAAAACATTAGACAACTATTACTGGGCTGCTGATCTGAGACTAGGTAAAAGACTGATCTTTTATGCCGGAATTGCTCTGAAATTGTTTCTCCGTCCCTGATATTTTGTTAATATAATTTATCTACTGTGCAAAATAGTTTCAGCTCAGCTAGTATATGTCAGTATTTTTGCTCCATCTGAGCATCCTCCCTCCTTTTTATCCAATTTCATCAACATACTCTTTTTTTTTTGTTCCTTTCTCCTTGTTTATCTAGCTTCCTTTTAAACACATCTATGCTGTTCACTTCAACTAGTTCCTGCAGTATCAAGTTCCGCATTCTTTCAACAGTCTGGGTAATGAAGAATATTTTGAATTAACATTTGAATTGATTAGCAACTATCTTGTATTTCACCTACAAATAGGTATTTATCTATATTGATCCTATTAAATCCTCTTTTGCTCTTGAGAATAGAGGCCCAACCTTTTGAATCCTTTCCCCCTCTATTCTGAAATCATTCTATGAATAAATTTTCAGTTTCTTCAGTGCCCAATATCCTTTATATGTTATTGCGATTAAAGCTATTCGCACTATTTCAGTGTGGTTGATCTAGGGTTTCATACAAATTTAATCAAATTTTAGAGAAATTATATTAATCTATCAATTATCTCATCTACCTTTATTTCAAATGTCTTTGTATGTTTTTTGGATTTCTATAATTTTGAAATAACAGACTAGCCATCATCTCATTTGAATGATAGCTCAGGCTTGAAGGGCTGAAAGGCCTTTTTCCAGCTTCCATTTCTCGTGTTATCGTCTAATGTCATGACCACCATGTCAATTTGTCTATTGAATATTTCTGGCATTTTGCTATCGTTACTTGAGTTTATCAAGTATGTTGTTTAGGAACTTATCTATGTTCTCTATTTTGCTTCTGTTATTTGTGTCTGCAGAAATAGTTACTATTTTTGTATTCCTTGATTTCATTATCTTTTTTTTTTCTAATTTTAGAACATAGAACATAGAACAGTACAGCACAGTACAGGCCCTCAGCCCACGATGTTGTGCCGACCTATTATCCTTCTAAGATCAATCTACCCTGCATAACCTACATTTTACTATCCTCCATGTGCCTATCCAAGAGTCGCTTAAAAGTCTCTAAAGTATCTGACTCCACTACCACTGCCGGCAGCACATTCCACATGCCCACCACTCTGTGTGAAGAACCTATCTCTGACATCTCCCCTATACCTTCCTCCAATCACCATAAAATTATGCCCCCTCGTAATAGTCATTTCCACTCTGGGAAAAAGTCTCTGGCTATCCATTCTATCTATGCCTCTCATCATCTTGTACACCTCTATCAAGTCACCTCTCATCCTTCTTTGCTCCAATGAAAAAAGCCCTAGCTCCCTCAACCTTTCCTCATAAGACCTGCCCTCCAGTCCAGGCAGCATCCTGGTAAATCTCCTCTGCACCCTCTCTAAAGCTTCCACATCTCTCCTATAATGAGGTGACCAGAACTGAACACAATATTCCAAGTGTGGTCTCACCAGAGTTTTATAGAGCTGCAGTATAACCTCGTGGCTCTTGAACTCAATTCCCCTGCCAATGAAAGTCAACACGCCATACGCCTTCTTTACAACCCTATTAACATGGGTAGCAACTTTGAGGGATATATGGACGTAGATCCACTTATTTTCTAACCTTTTTCTCTGTCCTTCTGCTATCCTTTACTTAGTTTATGTACATAGTGCAATCCTTTTTCTTTCTTTAGTTACAGTTTATTCCAGTCTTTGTATTTATCCACTGTGTCGTTATAAACTCATTTGTTCTTTTTAGTGTAGATGTTTTGGATCCTGATCTAACTTTATGACGACATGCTCCTGACAGAAACTATCAATTTCACAATGATAAAGGGCTCAAAATGGCACCAGTGTCATTGCACTGTTTCCAGAGCAGACTAAATCCGGCTAGGGTTTTCTGCTGGTAATTGGAACATGTTTTGTTGTTTGAAAACAGCATCAAGCAATTCCAAGTCTGGAGTGTTAAACACACACTGTAAAACTGTCTCTAGGGGCTTTTGTGGCACTGTGGTGTAATGTTTCTACCTTTGAGTCAGGAGGCCTGGCTTCAAGTCCCATCTACTCTAGAGGTGTGTAACACTATTCATGAAAATAACAAACACTGCTTCATCAAGCATTCTATCCTGAATGAAACATATGTTAAATAAGGAGTAAAGATCCCTCTGTGCCCATATGCTCTCAAAAGAGCCTATCAGAATGTCCAAAAGCACATTACAGCCATTGAGTATTTTTTGAAATATAGACACTGCTGTAACGTAGGAAACTTTGACAGCTGATTTATATACAGCAAGGTCCCCCAAACACCAATGTATACTTAGTATGATGTGGAGGTTCCAGTGTTAGACTGGGTCAGAAATCATATGACACCAGATTACAGTCCAACAGGTTTATTTGAAAGCACAAGCTTTCGGAGTCTTACTCCTCCAAGTGTTGGTGAAAGAAGTATCAGCTTGCGCTCAAGATACAGCAGTACAGTTACGATACACTGCCAAACAGACAAGGCTATGGAACTACAGCGCCTACATGTACATCAAGAACAAGAAGCTGGTGAAACTTGAAATCAACACCAGCAATAACCAAGTCTCTCCACTACCTCAGTTGAAAGCGGTACTGCCGTGGGAAAATCCATTGTCACATTATCTGACCACACCCTTCAACTGGACGAGATCGAAGTTCTTAACCAAGGACTCAACTTCTGACCCACCATCAAAATGGACCTCATTGATCTCACGGCAGACACAGAGGAATTCATCATCATACGAATGAGACGCCGGGAATTATTCCAAGATGTCAGCAGCAAGCTCAACGAGACAACCAATGAACTGGATCAGTTGCCAGAGATCCATGGGGGAGTGGGCAACAAAGGAGTCAAATTGGACTCCTCTGGAGGGCTGCTGCCCAGGGCTTGACAAGGTATGCTTTAGCCATCAGATAATGCATGAACTCCAGATTCATTAGCCGCATTCACAAGATAATGCAGAACGTCACCCAGGCATAACGCGACACCATCTGTGCTCTCAAGACCAATCGCAACATTGTCACCAAACCAGCAGAAAAAGGAGGAGCCATCGTCGTACAGAATAGAACGGACTACTGCAAGGAAGCATACTGGCAACAGATCAACCAGGAACACTATAGACAACTACCTGCCGATCCGACCAAAGAACACACCCATCAACTGAACAGACTGGTCAAGACTTTTGATCCAGTCCTTCAGAGTACCCTACGCACTTTCATTCCACGTAGGTAACTTCTGCCTTCCAAAGATACACCACGCCAATACACCTGGACGTCCCATTGTATCAGGCAATGGGACCCTGTGTGAGAACCTCTCCGACTATGTCGAGGTCTTCTTGAAACCCATTGTAAAGGGAACCCCCAGCTTCTGTTGCGACACTACAGATTGCTTATGGAAACTCGGCACCCACAGACCAGTCAAACCATGAACATTCCTCGTCACAATGGACGTTTTGGCAATCTACACCAGCATCCCTCATGACGGTGCCATCGCTGTGACAGCCTCAGTACTCAAACTCACCAACTGCCAATTTCCAGATGCCATCCTACAACTCATTCACTTCATCCTCGACCACAACGTCTTCACCTTCAACAACCAGTTCTTCATCCAGACTCACGGAACAGCCGTGCGGACCAGATTTTCTTCCCAATATGCCAACGTTTGAACAAAACTTCTTTGCTGCACAGAACCTCCAACCAACACTATACACCAGATACATTGATGACATTTTCTTCCTTTTGAACTCATGGTGAGGAATCACTGAAACAACTACATAGCAATATCAACAAGTTTCATCCCACCATCAGATTTACCAAGGACGAATCTTTTAGAATCAGTCTCATTCTCGGACACACATCTCCATCAAGGACAGACACCTCTGTACCTCACTCTACCGCAAGCCCATGGATAACCTCACGATGCTACATTTCTCTAGCTTCCACCCTAAACATATTAAAACAGCCATCCCCTACTGACAAGCCCTGTGCATACATGGGATCTGTTTGGATGAGGAGGAATGAGACAAACACCTGAAGGTGTTGAAGGATGCCCTCCTAGGAACAAGATACGATGCTCAATTCATCGATCGTGCCACAGCGAAAAACTGTAATGATCTCCTCAGAAGACAGACATGGGATATGTCCAATAGGGTACCCTTTGTCATCCAGTACTTCCCGGGACTGGAGAAACTATGTCATGATCTTTGCAGCCTTCATCACATTGAAGACGAGAGCACCTTGCCGAGATCCTGCCCTTGCCTTCACTTCTCACTGTCAAACAACCACCAAACCTTAAATAGACCATTGTTCACAGCAAACTCCTGAGCCTTCAGGACAACATCAAGCACAACCTCTGCAAGACATGTCTTCAAGATGGAAACTATCATCACACGTGGGGACACCATCCACCACATGCACAGCAGACACTCATGTGACTCAGCCAACACTGTCTGTCTCATACACTGCAGGCAAGGATGCCCCAAGGCATGGTATATTGGTGAAACCATACAGACCCTACGACAACAGATGAATAGACACCGCGCAACAATCATCTGGCAAGAATGTTTTCCCTCACCCCAGTGCGGGAGCACTTCAGTGGTCAAGAACACTTGGCCTTGAATCTTTGGGTAAACGCTTTCCAAGGCGGACTTTGGGATACACAACAACTCAGAGTTGCCAAGCAGAGGCTGATAGCCCAGGTCGGCACCCATGAGGATGGCCTCAGCCGGGATTTCGGGTTCATGTTGCACTACGGGTTACCCCACCACACTATATACACTCTCACATGCACCCTTGTGCATGTGCGTATCTATGGAGTAAATTTGTAATTGCAGATACATTCTATTTTGTTCAAAAAGCACACAATTTATAGACAGTCAGTCAATGTGGCGTTTTATAAATTCCTACTTGAGAAATAAATCCAGTCTGACTCCAAACCAAAACACACACAGATTCTAAACAATGCCTCACACCTAACATGCTTTGACTGACCTAAAATGTCGCCTCTTGTTTAGACTGATAAAACCTTTAGAACTCTCAGGACAGTGACTTGAAAGGAATTTGGGGATTTACGTATGCATATTATTCAATTAAAACCTTCCAAATGATTAAAGATTCAACAGCATCTTAGATTTATTTAATGCATCCTCATCAGTGGTGACCCTTTGACCTTTTACTTATAAATTCTGTGTCTGACACTATCTTTGTCACTAACACCTGAAGAAGGAGTAAGACTCTGAAAGCTTGTGCTTTCAATAAACCTGTTGGACTATAACCTGTTGTTGTGTGATTTCTGACCTATGACCAGATATTTTTACTGATGCTGTTGGAAGGGTAAATATTGGCAAGATAGAAGAGAATGTTTTTACGCCTCGTTTAAACCGTGCCATGGGATATTCTGCATCCACCTGAGAGAATGGGTGGAGTTTCAGCTTTGTGTGAAAGATAGCACCTCCCAACAGTGCACCATCCACTCAGTACTAACTGACGTGTCAACCTTGATTAGATGCTTGTGTCTTGGGAGTGAATCTTAAAGTACAACATTCTGACTTGCATTATCAACATGGTTATCCATCATTCTTAGGCTGAGAGTCCAGGTGGCATTGCCAACCTAAATCTGGCTATGGGAAAGTGCATAAGCTTTGTATGGTTATGACTACTCTTTCTTTCCTTCCCTGTCAGCAAGGAGCTGCCTGATGTGTAATCTTGAACTTCTTTTCTGTTTTAATATTATTTTGTCAGAGCTGTTGACTGCCTGTCAGATTTGAGGCAGCTTTGCTGTTACATGGTTGCACAGTTTTCTCTACCACCTTTATCGGTAATTTGCAATCTAAAGACAGTTTGATCATTCCGCATTACCACTTGGGCAAATAGCCAGGGATCTGCCTGTCTAACATGGTGTTTTTAACTGAGGTTTCAGCACAGATAAAAAAATTGCAGTGAGTCAGTGAGGGGGTGGCTGGCAAAGCAGTAGTTCTAATATTCAGCCTGAGCGTTTTTAGAAGCTCTCAAAATATTTGTACGTGCAAGTTTAAATTGTTGACTTTCATAAGTTTCAGCATAATTCCTTATTTTTGAAGCATTATCTAACTCCCTAACTTTAGAGTTTCTGTATGTCCCAGAAGCTGAATGGCATCTCCACAGAGCCAAGATTCAAGTGCAAGGAATGAAACACCAGCTAAGAAAAGCAGGTAAAGTATTCACTTTGTAATAATATCTAGTCTACTGATGCAGCTATTGTCTTATGTTTTACCTTTGAGTCCAGGGATAATTTCTACAATTTGTTTCGAGATTTTTAAAAAATGTTTGGTGAGAGAAACTAATGCTAAACCAAAATATCTACAATTCTAAACAAGATTGTATAGTGAGTGGAGGACTATCTAAAATGCAAAATAACCATTAATAAAGGTTGTAAAGCACCAAGAAAGTTACTTTAATCTTTTTGGATGATTAACATTTGGACGTCACCAGTTGATCATGGATCAGTGTTATTGATCATGGATCCGTTTAACACTAACACTGAGGATTGTAACTTGAAAAAACTTCTATGCATTCCTGTCCTTTTCATTGATTTCTGCTTTTTGTGTAGGATCATGCATAATATGATCTCAACCTGTCTTTTCCAGTGGATTTGCGGGAAAGAAATACATGACAGTCTCTCTTGTAATGTTATCTTTATGGGTAGAATGAAATATTTACTCCTACATTCCAAATTCCGTCAACAACTCTGCCACATGCAAGTAAATGGAATCCAACTGATTAAACTTAAAACTCATGGCTGATAAAATTGGATATATCGTCTAAAAATTTATGTGGAGATTAGAAGAAATTTTGCTTAGCTAAAAGCATCCAAAATCAGGGCAATCATATCAGGATGTGAACATAGGAGGTATGATTAGTAAGTTTGAATATGACACCAAAATTGTAGGTGTAGTGAACAGCGAAGAAGGTTACCTCTGAATGTAATGGGATCTTGATCCGATGGGCTAATAGACCGAGGAGTGGCAGATGGAGTTTAATTTAGATAAATTTGAGGTGCTGCATCTTGGAAAGGCAAATCAGGGCAGGACTTATACACTTAGTGGTAAGGTCCTGGTGAGTGTTGCTGAACAAAGAGACTTGGAGTGCAGGTTCATAGTTCCTTGAAAGTGGAGTCTCTGGTAGATAGGATAGTGAAGAACAGGTTTGGTATGTTTGCCTTTATTAGTCAGTACATTGAGTATAGGAGTTGGGAGGTAAGTTGCGGCTGTACAGGACATTGTTTAGGCCACTTTTGGAATACTGCATGCAGTTCTGGTCTCTGCTATAGGAAGGATGTTGTGAAACTTGAAAGGGTTCAGAAAAACTTATAAGGATGTTGCCAGGGTTGGAGGGTTTGAGCTATAGGGAGAGGCTGAATAGGCTGGTGCTGTTTTTCCCTAGACTGTCAGAGGCTAAGGGGTGAATTTATGGATGTTTATAAAATCATGAGGGGTTATGGATAGGGTAAATAGACAAGGTCTTTTCCCTAGGTGGGGGTATCCGAGCACTAGAGGGCATATGTTTAAGGTGAAAGGGGAAAGATGTAAAAGGGACCTATTTTTCACAAAAAGGGTGTGGTGCTTGTTTGGAATGAGCTGCCAGAGGAAGTGGTGGAGGCTGGTACAATTACAACATTTAAAAGGCATCTGGATGGGTATATGAATAGGAGGGGTTTAAGAGGGATATGGGCCAAATGCTGGCAAATGGGATGAGATTTATTTAGGGTATCTGGTTGGCATGGACAAGCTGGACTGAAGGGTCTGTTTCATGCTGTACATATCTATGATAAAAGCAATAATTTATTGCTTCCCTCGGGAAAATAAATTGGTCAAATAGAGTCCATGGTAGGAACCATTGCACATTTTTGAAACAGAAAATAGGTTTCATAGTCTGATTTTACTCATTTCAACGCTTGTATGTTGTCTGTCTGAAGTGGTTTCTACCTGTACTTTTCAAGTATCAGTTCAACACCCACAAATATTTAGATGTATTGCTCCAAATGAAAAGGAACCAGAACTGCCACCTCCAAACAAATCTCCAGATTTTGAGAATATTAAAACAATTCCAAAATATGTTAGAAACATTGTATGTTGGAAAATTATCTCGTAGCCAGTTAGTGAAATATAAATAAAATCTATCTAGGGAACATTGGAGTGAAAATTTTCCGTTCTGCAGAGGATAAAATATTGCTTGGTTTTGATGGTTTCCACTATATGGGGAATCGAGAGGTCCACAGGATAATTGGATAAATCTTGAGCTGGAACCATGTTTCATCGTGAATCAGAGTAAATTTTTCAAAAACTGATATTTGGTGCACAAGAGAAAGGAAGTGCTGAGTGTACTGATGGTACTGCTGCAAACAATATCAACCATGCCATACAACAAACCAGCCCACAGTGTCAACATAGAGAGGAACTTGGATGTGTAAACAAGAATTGGTGATCCGTAATTTCCACAAGATGTGGAAGTTTTGAGCACCAGGTTGAGTTGACACAAGCACATATGAGAAGTGATGCCCACTCTCAAAGCTGGAGCCGCAAATTGGAATTGAGATGATGGGGTTGGAGGAGAATGTCACACTGATGAGAAATGGAGAGCGATAGGTGGAAAAGATATATTTGTAAAACAGAGTTCAGTTTAGCATCTTTGTTTATATCAAAGACTGGTTAATCAAGTGACTTGATCTATGTAATAGCTTCTATTTATAACTGCTGTTTTGAATTACTAACCACTTGCATCACAGCGATCTGCAGATTGCAGCCCTTTGCCAACTGACATTGGCTCCAGTTTTTGGCACAATAGAAAATGTCTGCACAGTGGCAAAAATTCTGGACGAAGTCTGCAATCCCTATTCCCACCCCTGGCATTTCTCATTTCCACAGGGACGGGACTACCAGGTCGTAGCTCGCATGTGCCCGTGTTCTGGAGGCAGCTGACATTTAATATATCAGTAGCCGCCACTGAAATTTGATTTTGGAGTCTCTTGTGCTTGGAATCTGAGTGTGTGGAGATTGGACCATGCAAAAGCCAAGTGCGTTGCCAGTCCACTTCTTTTAGACACCAGTGTACCCCTCTGGAGAGTGAGATATAGTACCAGGACTGCTTTGGATTAGGGGCTCAGGGGTCATCTGTGGGGATGCGGTCAGCTGCCCTTTACCATTATTAAGTATGGAGAGGATTGTGCGTAGAAAAAACGCGCATAAATCCCATGGAACTGTACAACTTGCCGTCAAGTGTTGATCTCTTAGCAAGGATCAAGACGTACATTTATGAATGAGAGTGCTTTTCGCAATATAATGTAGTCTACAATATAGAAATTTAAAATAATGAAACTGTAGTTTTTCTCCTGTAGGCATGGGTAGTTGTGGATACTCCATCAGTTGTTGTGGTACATGAGGGTGAAAAAGTTGGTGAGGTGAGGCACTAAATTGGCATAGGAGCAGGAAAGGCCTATATCTATCACATGTGGATAGATAGAGGACATAAGGTTGCATAGGTTGGCATGAGGTGTCTGAGGCTAAGGAAGCATGAACAGTTGTGAGGACTGGAAGAATGTTATATAGCTCCACCATTTTGGAGAGATATGATACTTCTTTAGTGTTTGATCCTTGCAAACCTCTGCTGGAATTGAGGCAGCATCTGGGATTGTGAATAAAAACATGCTTGTGCATCAACTCATTGGAGTGGGCAAAGTTTTCAAAAAACCGTATTAAAAGCGGGAATTAAAACAGAAGGATTGGCTATTTCATGTAAAACCAGTAAAGGATTTGTGCTGTGTGACTTGTTCCTCCCAACTTGTCATTTTCACAATGATGTCTATTAAGGACAGGTCCAACTGTTCATTAAATGAATATGTTTGTTTACATAAAGGATTAGTTGAAGAAGTTCAATGTATTTGGCTCTGTTTTTGTATCAGTGCGAGTCTGGTTGTTGACTTGCTTGCCAAGCTGGCTTGTTTTCGTTCAGACGTTTCATCACCATGCTAGGTAACATCATCAGTGAGGCCTCCGATGAAGCGATGTTGTTCTACTCCGCTTGGAATTTATACTGTCCGGTCCAATATGGTGAGTAGTGTCATTTCTGGTTTTGTCCAATTCTATATGTTTGTTTGATTGCATTATGGGTTGAGAACCATGCCTCTAGGAATTCCTGTGCATGTCTATGTTTGACTTGCGATACTATGGTTACATTGTCCCAGTTAAACTGATGGCCTTCATTGTCCGAGTGTATTGATATTAAGGAGAGTTCATCATGTCGTTTTGCTGCTAGCTGATGTTCATGTATTCAGATGGCTAGTTTTCTTCCTGTCTGTCTGATGTAATGTTTGTGGCAGTCATTGCATGGTATTTTGTAAACTATGTTGGTTCTGTATGTTGTGGGAATGGGGTCTTTAATCCTTGAGTGTTTGTCATAGAGTGGCTCTGGGCTTGTGTGCTATTGTGATTCCTAGTGGTCTTAGGAGTCTCGTTCTCAGTTCTGATATGTTCTTGATGTAGGGCAATGTGGCCAGTGTGTTAGGGCGCACTGTGTCCTCTTGTTGTTTATTTAGTAGGCACCTGCGGATGAAGTTGCAGAGATATCTGTTCATAACAAAGCTTTTGTATAGGTGCTATTCCGCTTTCCTGTGATGTTCTGACGTGTTGTAGTGACTGGTGGCCCGTTTAAATAGTGTCCTGATATAGCTTTGTTTGTGGACGTTGGGGTGGTTGCTGTGGAATTGGAGGATTTGATCAGTGTGAGTTGCTTTGCTGTATACTCAGGTTTGGAACTCCCAGTTGGTTGCACATTCAACTCTGACATCAGAAATGAAAGCTGATTGTTTGTTTTCTTCTCTGAATTTAATCCCGGCAAATACGTTGTTGATGAGGTGGTGGGTCTCTTCTAGTTTGTTGTGTTTAATAATGATAAAATGTGTCATCCACAGTTTACTTTGAATGCAGGGGAGGGTAGTGTGTTCTAGTCTTTGTATGATTGCTTCTGCGATGAGTGCTGAGATGGGTGACCCCATGAGTGTGCCATTGATCTGTTTGTATACTTGACTGTTAAAGATGAAGTGTGTGGTGAGGCACAAGTCAAGTAGTTTGAGTATGTTGTCATTGCTGATGGAGCTGATGGTCTGCGTTGCTGCTTCATATAGTAATGTGGCTAGTATTTCTTTGGCTAGTGGGAT